AATTAATTCTAAAAATGATTTTTAAAAAGGTATGTATAAAAACAATGATGTAACAAACAACATTGGAACATGGTAGGGGATAAAAAAAGGTAGGACAGAAGCATAAGAGCAATTTTTGAGCAAGGAAATAATTCCATTCTATCTAAAATTGCTTCTTAAGGGATCTTTTAGAAATCACTATCTCTTATGGATAAAGAAATATTTACTTGAGATTTACTCCCAGAATTAAATCAACAGAAGAAAGAGTCAAGAACAGAACAAAACTATAAGAACAAACTCAGAGAATCTGGGAGGTCAGTCTATGATGAAAACAATAACAATGTAACAGAAGGTAAACATATAGGAACAGAGATTTAACTATTCTTTTAGTTTCACTTCAATTTTTCTTTCTCTGTTAAAACCATAGATTATTGAAAGATCAACCAGTAAAAAGACTCCTTCAATGCAATTTAAACTAGAAACCAAGATAAAAGTTTCTCTGTTTTTTCACAATTGTTTTGGCTGGAACATTTAAATCCTCAATTTACAAAAACAGCTTGATTTAGAATATTGCAACAAAACAAAAATAACTTAAAACAAATTGTGGTCTCTACATACAATGGAGTATTACTCCAGCCACAAAAAAAGGAATGAAGTACTAGGATACGCTACAATGTGGATGAACCTCAGTGTAACCATGTTAACTGCTTAATGAGTGCAGGGTTTTATTTTGGGATGATGAACTGTTTTGCAACAAGACAGTGGTGGTGGTTCCACAAAACTCTGCTAAGTATCACAGAACTGCTCACTGTAAAATGGTTAATACTATGTCATATGAATTGAAACTCAACTAAAAAAATAGAAATTAATTTAAATTTTCAAAAATCTGGAGTAGAATTCCACAGCAGCGCTGGTTTGGAGATGGAAGATTAACATCGAATGCAATGAATTCACTGTAGAAACTATGTGGTTTTTCAGTGTTAACGAAAGCAATATACTCATGTTGTTAAGTACCGTGGAGTCGGTTCCAACTCATAGTGAGGGTTTCAGAGGCTGTAACTCTTTACAGGAACAGAAAGCCTCATCTTTCTCCCAGGGAACGGCTGGTAGTTTCGGACTGCCGACCTTGAGGTTAGCAGTCCGATTTGTAACCACTACGCTACCAGAGTTCCTTAATATACTCATT